AAATAATCTAACACTTATACAACTCCTACATTGTGTCGAGTTAACCATCCGGAGTGGATAGGTTTGGTTTCAATCCAGAGATCACTACGAACAGCTGCCTTCGACCTGGTCCCTCAGCGATCGGTCTTACTTATGGTGATCAATCCTTATTTTAAGATGCTCCCTGCCTGCGGAGACACAGAAACAGTTAAATGCCTAACAGTACTGATCCTACAAGAAAATCTTTTGTTATACGAGAACTTTTTCAAAATGTAATCCTGTCTTTAAGATTTATTGCTGAGATACAACAACCAAACAGTCCTCCAAACTGAGCACCCCTAACTCTTCGCCAACCGATCCTCTCCTCCTGAGGTGAGAGGCGCTCACTCCGGTCTTCCTCCGGCTCTCCCTCACAGCCACTCACTCACCGTACCTCAGGCTGCCTAACAGAGTTTAAACTACATAACAGAAAACATGTTCAACATTTTAAGCAAGGTGCACAAGGAACATCCAGCACCGGCTACGAAGTTAGACAGAAACCAGCACAAGGAGCATCAGCAGAAGACGGAGAAAGACTCTTCAACCATCAATACACAGCAAAGATACTGTGGGTTAGGTGATATCAAAAAACATCCACAAAAGCATAGGAATATCCCCATTACATGTGAGCCATGTACCAGACACAACGGAGCTAAACACACTCTTATTCTCGCTTCTGATCTCCTCAACACTGTCAGTCATACACAGCGGATGTGAGAAGAGTCCTGCTCGAGGTAATATATGTGTCTATGCTCGCTCCAGCTCATACACATCCATGGCCCATCCGTTGCTAAAAACATTTTTAACATACACACTGTCACACGGAGACTGCTCTCCCACATGCCTTCACAAGCAGTCACCATCATTGTCCCTTATTGTCTTACGCAATCTTTGAAAAGTACCGGTGTACAAAAAATAAAATAAATGAGCGTTCGCACCATAACTCAGCCTCTACACTACACCGCATCAGCTCTAAACACAGAAATCAATAACAGTCAGTGTCAACTTTTCCTCACCTTTCAACCCTCTTAGGGACTTATTTCTTTTTACCGACTTATACAGACCACCTGGGAAAAAGCGGGGATTGTATATATATTATATTTATACTATCAACAGCATGCTGCTCAGGGGTAATCGCAATCCACAGCAGTTAGTGGGGCGCTTGGGTCTCTCCCTCTCCTCTTTGCACTGTGCGCAAGCCAGTCAGTAGGTGTGGCATGGGGGCACGTTTGAGCTTTTCTCTCTCTCTCACTCTCTCACTCTTTCTCTTCGGATTCTGGGACTTACGTTCCATATTTGCTATTTGGGTTATTTGCTGTGCTTGTAATCCTACCTGAGCAGTTCTGGAGGAGTGAGGATTTGTCCATCACAGACTGCATCAAACGTGAAGAACCGTCCACGACACATCACTACCAAATGGGAGGGGCAAGGACCCTCACGCTCTGTGACACAGCACAAAATGCACATTACACAACAGTGATATGTAAACTGACAGTGGGCTAAAGGTAAGAGATAACAGTAACGTTTATTCTACCTGTTTTGAAATAGTTACGAATGGTGTCTTTCTTTACTCCAGGTACTTTGCAGGTGGAGAACAGCATCCTGAACTGGTCCATATCTAATGGTGTTTTGCCAGATTTCTGAGGAGCCAGACTCTCCCTGAAACATGCAAGAACAAAAAAATGACATATATACATGACTTAATGTAGAAATAGGAGAAAATTCTGCTTAAAACACCACAAAAACACAGCTTGTGTCTTACGTGCGGATCAGGTTCCAGTACTGCAGCGTATGCCATGTACTGATACTGGCCCTCTGCAGATGAGTTCCCTCTTCAGGAGGCCAGCAGTGCTCCAGGTAGGGCGCCGGGCCACCAAAGTTCACATTCAGCTGAGAGGGGACGCGGACCTCCAGATATGCAGAATCTAACCACCATTCTTCCAGCTGGGGAATAAAAAGAAACAGTTAGCTAAGTAAAACAAAGCTTTGTGAGTAAAGAGGACATCTGTACCACCAAAAACAAGACATTTACAGCTCAATTACACACCCAGTTCTTCTTTGTCTTGGCTCTCTGCAGTAGTTTCTGATGCAGCTCTTTGCCAACACCCTCTTGAAATCTATTCACAGTGTCCACTGTAGCCTTAAACTCCTTCTCAGATGCAAAAGGTTGAACTGATGGAAAACATGACAACGCAAAATTAGTCAGTCTATCAAGTAAGGGCACCAGCTTCTGGTCATTATACACATTAAGCAGCTTTTATTACTCACTGGTAATGTAAACCAGACATTTCCTACTACTGTAGCTTCACATTAAAAGCATTTAACTGGCAAAACACGAGTTGACTTTTATTGTGAAGTAGTCGCAGGAAATACAATGTTTGTCAGTGAACTCAACACGGACCGTTACTATTGATCAAAAAAGCTTCAACAAAACAAAACAATGGTCATTTTCAGCATTTTCTGACACCAGATCAGTTTTAAAAATCACAGGGACAAGTAGAACAAGAAGGAGCAGCCACAGTGAGCTGTTATAAGAGCTGCAGGAGACAGGCTGCACAGCTCCAACCTGTCAGTGTGGTAACCAACTCCCTTCTCTGTACCCTGCTGTTCACAGACTCATGCTGTGTGCAGCATAAAATCAGATCATGGTTGCTTAAAGAACGATGAAAAAGGTTTATTATTATTACCTGACTTCTTTATTACAAACAATAATAGTTTGTTTTGCTTCCCGGAGAATTCTGGGACCTGTAGTATTAAAACACATTTGCTGTAACTACAGTTAACCCTAACCCAAATGAATGATTGACTTAAGGGGGCAGAAATATTTACATAAAGACAAATAGCAGAAGCAGCAATGAGCACTTAATGTCGAACTTTCCTAATATTTGCTGCATTTGTTTGCGTAGTTTGCATTGTAAAAATATAGAAAACCTGAAACAGAGGAACAGCAAAGCTACTATCTTACCTGCATTCAGATACTTTAAAAGGCTAATCTCTAGCAGTGGGACAGGAAGGGGCGGCAGGCTGCTTTGGTACTGGAAGGTCCGCTCTGGCAACGACTCTGACACATGATTAGCCATTTCTTCTTCCTGAAATACACATAAATGTCACACTGCCATGAAGCTGAGGCTGTATCACTTGTATCACATGTAGCTTGCAGTATCTGAAGTTGATCTTGAGGAATTCCTCCTTCAGACTGGACCCGCAACTGATACAATTATAAAACAAACTTCTGTAATAGTATTGTCCTAAATAAAATGTCAGATTTTGTCAAGAACCAATAATCAGCCAGTCTAGTTTATATGAAACAGTTTATTCTGAACATTGAAACTAATATCTCTATATTATATATAAATCTATAATAATTACTGCAGAGCTCAACAGTAAGGATTGTCCACTTGCTTGGGGTAAGTCAAATGCCACGTTGGGCTAGTACCTCTAGCAACTCACTTGCCCTATTGGATAAGTAGTAAAAAAAAAAAAAAAGATTAAACTCATTGTTTTTTTGATGCTGATGATGGAAGTACTCAAAAAGTGAGCCAACCTGCTTCCTTTCTCATCTCTGTTGAGAGCTATTCAGCTGCTCCACTACAGCGCCATCGATGTAGACAGGGGTGCGTACAGGGTGCAAAGTTAACCTTTTTTTGTCCACTGGTCAAATTGCTTATGAATAGTCCAATTTTACCAGCCACATTATAGATTGCCATTGTTTTTTTGTTTTTGTTTTTTGGGGGGGTTTGGCTGGTTAGTGAAGCAAAACTACCAGCAGCCTGCATAAGTTCCTTGTAAATATAATGTAAGCTACTAGTATATACTTTGTTCTGTTTTATTCTAATCTAATTTTGTTAAGTTTGTTTGTTTTTTAATAATCAGATTTTATTCTATTTTAGGAATTTACATATCAACAATGCATATAAGCATACATCATTAAGTAGTGGTCTAAGATAGGGGACAGCAACCTATCAGCAAAACAAGAAATATGTCCTTGTACCTATTAAGAAATATTTCTTATCACCAGTCTGCTCAGTCTGGCACCTTTTAAGCCAGTGTTTCCCCTCTGGATGATTTCACTTAGATCCTTAGGCAGATAATCCATTACAGGCCGCCATATGTCCATACAAGTGTCGTCATTTATATCTGTTTATACATATTTATGTGTAGCATGGGAGAGAGCTAAAACGGCATTTCATTGTGCAATCCTGGATTACAGGATGACAATAAGGCTGAACCTTGAACCTCGTAGCTCTGCTTTCAACCATGGTAGCTAATATAAGCAGTGGATACAGTCAGTGACCAGTCAAACAATACTAAACCCAATCTACTCCCTCTGAGGTCCTGTGATGGGCTGATCCCACACCTGAGCAAGTATAAACCCTACAGCTTTGAATTACATTGAGTCAAACACGTCTTTCTCTGCCAGTTGTAATAATATCTTGGTTAACATTAATTCACTTTAGCTTGTTGCTACCATGTTAATCCAGGAACTCCTTTTACGACCACCCAACAGCGTTAAAAGTTGTTGGTGGAAACTTGGCTTTCAGAGCACCCTTCCATATAAACACAGCCCACCAGCCTACATACTGAAAACACGCAGGTTTAAAAACAACCTTTTACTCGTTTATTGTTCATTTAAACGGACCTAACGGTAATAACGCTTTGTCAACACCTTCAGGTTAAACTTCAGTCAGAAACTTTATTTAAAAAGCTTTTTTAGCGCAGTGCCTCTGTCAGCTCACCTTCTTGGGAATATGCTGTTGTACCTGTAGTCAGCTGGATGTTGTCCGCCGCAGTCCCGAGCCTCACCTTTACCCCACTTAACGACCGCTCAGTGTGGGGCGGGCAGATCTCACTGCGCAGGCGCGTTGTATTTGACCTACATTTTGTGAGCTCCACAGTGAGGCTTTGGTAGGGAGCTTTTGTACTGCGGAGAGGTGAGAGGGGGATTCATTTACAGGCTGCGGTGACAATTAATGTCCCAGGATAGAGAGAAGACCACAACGTACACACGATGCTTAACAGAGGTCATTTATCAAATAAAAATAAAGAAGGTAGACAAACACACCTTTCTTGACAGCAAAGTCAAACAATTCTTACAAATAGACTAGATGGCCTGAAGTATGTGGACACCCCTATTTTCTGTCTGGTTTTATTTTTCATGCTTTGGACTATACCCATTAGTTACAATTTAAGTGATGGGGGGACAAAATCTGATCCTTGTTCTGAGTAAAAATACACTCATTTACCAGTTTTTTAGCTACCCTTTATTAATGCACTCCAATACAACAATCCTGCAATAAATCATACCTACATGAAGGTTGTGCGTTTTTTTTCTTTTGTTTTTGAAGCTGTTCTGTAGCAATGAATTGTATTATAATGACAGGTCTTGTTATTATTTTGTACACCACATTTGTATCCATGAGTGTAGGCTAAATAACAAAAAACTAAACAAAACAGCTCAAAATTTGGTTTTATTTTCAAAATGTGTGCAGTAAGTTCACATTTGACAGCATTTAGTTCGTCCTGTTTTGAATCGGAATCAAGCTGCAGGTCAAAGTGCACAAGTTACATGTGGATTACAACAATAAACACACTTACATTAGATATAATAGCAATAAGCAAATTCATATTTTTAACCCTTGAGGATGCATAGAAGTTGTTCAATTGTATACATTAATTAGAATAATTTATGTAAAAAAGACAAACCATGAAAAGAAATCACAGAAAATTATTAGAAATTATAATAATAATAAATTATTATCCTGCATACTTATGGCCTCTGGAAGCAGAAGGCTACTTGTTATTCGGACAGCCTCATTATTTTACGACTGTTGTCGTTTTTGGCATTAATTCAGCCTCTTCAGTTCATTGCGCCACCCTTACAATGACATTTTCAGGATTACTCCTTCCAAGGTAACGTAGGCGACATGCGTCTCCATGACATTCCTGATAGAGTCTGGTAAAATACAAAGTAAGTCAAACACAACCCTAATTATCGTATTTATATGGGGGGGGGGGTATATTGTGCATTAACATAAAATGTGCGATAAGTTAAAGGTAAAGGTGCAATAACCCGTTAATTGATGTGCACTCTAGCTGAGGATGTGGTGCCAGGTTTGACATCTCATGCAGCGCTACGATGCGTTGAACATGTTGAATCTGTGGACAGGCAGAGGTCCACGGGGGCTGAGATCAAGTTCCACAATCCTAGAGGAGAAAAGCAGCACAGTGTGATTGCCTGATTGCAGGTAAAGTTTTTTTAAATTAATCGACACTGAGAACCAGTTTACCATTTTTTCTGAAAAGCAGCCTGATTTTTATACTGCTGTATTTTAAATACAACTTAACTCTGAGCAGAAATCATGACAAGATACAGAAGAATAAACAGCACGATGAAAGAGGCCTTGGCTTAGTCTGCCCACCTTTCATCTCTGCCGGTAGAAAACACACTAGCCATGTGCACCATGGGACCACGGCCCCCAGAACTGTATGGTAGCCGTCGAGTTACTGGCGACAGCCAAGTTCCCACACCACACTCGACACAACACCTTCGTCATACACGATATCTTTGCCTTGGCAGCCAATGGTCAGCACATGTGACCTCATGCCCATATTCATATGTAGACAAACACCCAAAATATAGACCAGGATTTCATGGCAGGGTAGAGCGAGATTTTTTTAAACCTGTAAACCCGCATCAAGTTGACAGAAACAGTAATGACGCATTATTACCCCTCTGTTACAGCTTTACGCACAGGTCAACATTCACCGACGATACACATTCACACAGGCACAGCCTTCAATCAAGGACACTCACATTGTACTGGAGGACTGGGATCGACCACCAATCTCTGGTGGGACCACCTACCACTAAGCCACTGCCCAACGAGTTTTAAAACGAGTAGGCACATAGATTCATACTGGAGTCACTTTATGTCCTATTCAGTTACATTTATTGTTTTTTTGTTGTGGTTATTATCCAGTAGACCCAAACACACTCATCATCCATATTGTTTTGTATTTTCATTATCTTTACAGACAGTCTCTTGCATTTAGAGGGGATCCGTGAAAGCTCTGGTCGGACTCCCTCTTCTGTCGATTAAATAAGCCCAAAAAGGGATCCGTCAAAACCTAGCAGCAATGAATAACAGAATTAATATCAGAGACATTAATATTGTAACAACATGAAACACAATACTACTATACTACAATACTAACAATTAATTAATTATTGTCACTGTTAGTCTAACATTGACAATAATAAGTCTGTTGGGTGACATGTTGTTACATTAACATTGTAGCTGACATTATTATAACCTGCTGTCTACTATCTATGTTTATGTATTTACTAGATTAATCAATGTAAATAAACAAAAACTACCCTTATACCCAGTTTCTCACCAAAACGCATTGTGTATCTGCTTTAGGTTCAACAAATGTGTTGCATGCATTTTCTTTCTTATAAAACATTTTAAAGCCGATTTTTATGTTTTAAATCATGCATTGTTTACATCCATGTTTGCTTGCCAGCATTCTTCTTCTTTATTGCTTTTGTTGCTACATTGTTATGTTTGTGTTATGTATGTGTTGTTTGTTGCATCACTGCTACCAACTAGCGAAGTTGACTATGTGGGGGGATCCACAAGCTGCTCCCTGGCTTTACTAGTGGTTAAAAACCTTTATACTATCACTGGGGATACTTTGTTTCTTCCTGACATGAGGGACAATGTACAGCAACTTATTTGACAGTCTATAGCTTTTGTGAATTTCTTGTTACTGTGCCAATGCATTTTTACATTTGGTCTAACTCTTGTTTATGGTATCTCATGTTTTGTTGTGTTTATTCCAAGAATAATGTTTTCACAGTTTGGTAATTGCTTCCAGTAAAAACTTCAAAGGCCAACTTTTGTCTTTTGGAATAGGTTATTATAGTTGTGAACCTACACATACAGTGAGGGTAGAGGGAGAGAAAATATCTATGACTACTATTGAACAGTGAGATGTAGAAACATTTTACATGTATGTACGTAAAGTGAACTAACCTTTTCCTTCCTGGTCTTCAGCCATCAGTTTGTTGTGTTTATGGAAGGCCAGCTGCATGGCTTTCCTCCTCTCATCAACCTGACAGAAAAATGTTCAATGTCAAATAGTCAAAGACTCTTTCAACCTCTTTCATTTGAGTGATTTTACCACAGTGCAGAGTTTCAGACATACACACACTTACGTTGCAAGTGGGGTCCATCATGGCTGTACACCAGTTCACAGCCTCCTTGGTGCAGGGTCGCATTGTCTCCGTCCTGCCGTGGTAGAACTTGCGAGTCATTGCTGTCTCATAACAACTTCCTGGCCTAAGAGGGGTGAGAAGAGACATTCAGGGTCATTCACTTATGAGGGTGTATTCACACATGGCTCATTTGGAGCAATTATTTTGAAACCGGGAGCTTTTCCCCCATTGGTTTAAAGTAAGAACGTCCCATTGTCCCAGGGACAATTAAAATAGCACAGTCACAGTGTCTGGGACAATTCTGGGACAGTAGAGTAATGTATCATTACAAATGAAATTATTACATGTATGCATCATGAAATATATATTAATTTAGGTGTTAGGTAAAATAAAAAAAAAGAGATGGCATCGGCATAAGCTTTGTGCTACCTCACACGCTGGTTTACAGGCACTAAACCAGTGTTGCCAACTTTTTT